TCGTCTTGTTATAAAATGACAAAACCAAAAGCTCACTAACGTTATTCCAAGCAGTTCTGCAGCTGGTACTGGGTGTTAGATTCCCCACCTCGATTGCTTATGGTGGAAAGGAGAAATTTTCATCCTGACGCATGGTTTCACTTCAGTTCTCATACCTTCCGGTGCAGGAAAGCCATAGTTAGCCTTGTCACCGATTTTACCGGGCACCTCCACACACCATCTCACTGGAGCCTAACTATACCCTGGGAGGTAGAGAGAACAGGTCTTGGGCTGGCAGGATGCAGTAGGGAGCTGCGACTAGAATTTGGGTTGACTGCAGGCCTTCCTCCCACCACTCTGGACTGACTACCCCTGGCTCAGCTTTGTCCGCAGCTGAAAGAAAGAGCCCTAAGGTGGGGGTCAGCCTCGGCTTCCAAAACTGTGCTTTACCGTAATCAGCAGCAACTCTGCAAAAGATTCCCAATATATTCTTTCTCTCTCTCCCTCTCTCTCCCTCTCTCTCTCTCTCTCTCTCTCTCTCTCTCTCTCTCTCTCTCTCTCACACACACACACACACACACACACACACACACACACACACACACACACACACACAGGAATTGGGTTCCCCTGGCACTTAATTCAGTAGCTACAAGCATTTCACAAATTTCTCCCAAATCAATCCTTTCACCTGAACCATGGAAACCCTCTCTTCCCCTCTCTCTGCCTTCAAATGCAGAGAAGAAAGGATCCCCAGTCCCCAGTGTGTTTCCCAGCTAATCTGCTGGGTTCGGATGTAACAACATTGGAGAATCTTTCTGTTATGTCTTAGGACATGGCGAGTGATTAAACCTGCTAAGAATTGCACCAAGAGAAGCTCTGTGGGGCGCTCTGCTTCCCTGAGCTAATGTCCTGCCTGTTTTATTTAGACTGTGAGTCTGCTTCGGAGACACTGTGTCGAATTCTACGTTTGAAACGCCCCTAGCACACTGTTGGCACTTAAACGCAATTATTCAAAATGGAATCATTTAATTAGATGGGAAGAAAAACAGCAAGCCCTGCGAAGATAACAAAGAATAAAGCAAACGTGCGGACCGACGGCGGCAAAGCACCGGCTAGACAGCGACGCACACGCCCAAGACAGCCGCTTGCAATTCCTCCCCCCGGGATCAGAGCGGGGTCTACACACCGTGTGACATGCCTCGCTTTGCTGGGGTCACAGAAAGCACAGAGAAGGCCTCATATTGATAACTCTGTACAGTGGCCTTCTATGACTTAGCTCCTTGGGGAAAGGAAATGGGAGCAGAGAACGACAGACTCCACGGCCCTCAAGTGCTTGAACCAGGAATGAGGAATGAGCCTCCCCGTCTGGATGGGACAGGTCACTGTCCATCACCCACCAACCGCCAATCCCTGAGGAGGGGAAAAGGATTTTTTTAAAAAAGATTTGTTAAACACACACACACACACACACACACACACACACACGACACACACAGAAGACTTGTTATGGAGCCCCGGACAAGGCATCATGTAGGTGCCCAAGGATTAAGACTCTGTAGTTAAATGCTGGATGTGCCAAAAAAAGTCCTCCTTAAATGAATTCCTATCTCAACAAGTGTAAGGCTAACGTAAGACATTGCCATCGGCCGGTTACAAAATTTTACAAGTTTTATAATGAAGTTTGTTTGTCGATTGTAAGGTCCAAACAGTTAAATAATAATCTTTTAAACCGATAAAAATAACAACAACCTACCCAAGCCCTGATCAATTTAAACCCTCTGCCCCCTCTCACCCCTCAAAAAAGCAGCTACGTAATTGAAAACTATTCGAGACAGAGGCCATTAGCTTGTAGGTGCTCTCCGGCCTTCCCTAGCAGGTGCTTGGATCTGACTCTGAGGAGGTGGAGCAGAGGAAAAGGTCCCTTTGGCCCGGTGACCTCCCTTGACTCTGCTGCCTTGATGGACTTCCTGTTTTCAGCCAGACTCGAAGTTCCTGGATAGATAACTTCCTGCAGTGCAAGTCGCTCCTCCATGCCTGTTAGCAGCTGCTGTGGATTTGACAGTCACCGTGGTGTGCTTTCACTGCTAAGTGAGGCAAACCAGGCTGCCCACGGTCCATCCTCGAACGCTTCTTCTCACATGCTCCAAACCATTTTATAAGGACGGCCAATAAGCTTTTATTGGAAAGAACAGAATTAAGTATTGGAATTTGTCACAGTACTGGGAAGCAGAATGGCGCTGAAATCAAGGGAGGGGGCTGGGTACCTTATTACTCCTGGGCCTTGGGATAAATTACTAACTTTCCCTCAGCCCCCATTTTCTAATCAGGAAAATGGGAAGAAACAACCTTACCTCAGAGGGTTGCTATTAGATTAAATGAAAAGTGCACAGCAGGACAAGTAGTTAATAGTTAATGTTGGCCATTGCTATGACTGGTCTGATTTAAACTCTTATCCTCATTTTGACTGGCAGTTAAAGACACAGGGTTTCCTAGGTGGGACCCGGGAGGGGAGGCTGTATACGGGAACCTGTATAGTTGTTGGACCTCTCTCATCCTCTGAAGCAGTTGGTCTTTATTGGCGTGCATTGGTGTCCTTACTTTCCTCCTTCCAGAATCCTCAGGTGACCCTTTCCTCAGGGAGGCAAACTGCCGCTCAAGCTACCACATGGCACCTGCTTTCACTCTAGCAGGAGTGGTATTTTTCTATCACAAAGTAGTGGATAGAGCGTCGGCCTGTGGACAGAAAGGTCCCAGGTTCGATTCTGATCAAGGGCATGTACCTTGGTTGTGGGTACATCCCCAGTAGGAGGTGTGCAGGAGGCAGCTGATCAATGTTTCTCTCTCATCCATGTTTCTAACTCTCTAATCCTCTCCCTTCCTCTCTGTTAAATCAAATATATATATATATATATATATATATATATATATATATATATATATATATATATATTAAAACAGCCTGACTGGTTTGGCTCAGTGGATAGAGGTTGGCCTGCTCACTGAAGGGTCCCAGGTTTGATTCCGGTCAAGGGCATGTACCTCGGTTGCGGGCACATCCCTGGTGGGGGTGTGCAGGAGGCAGCTGATTGATGTTTCTCTCTCATCGATGCTTCTGACTCTCTACCCCTCTCCCTTCCTCTTTGTAAAAAAATCAATAAAATTTATATATTTTAAAAAATAATAAAGCAAAGTTGAGGCCAATATGTAGATAACAGACGCGTGCTGTTCTGCGTTACCTCTCCGAGGAATGGCGGATAAATAGCAAAGGCAGCTGCGGCGGGAGACGGAGGGACACTCTCCACAGATCACACATCCAGGGAGCGCCTGGGAGGCGGGCTCTCGGCGATGTTGCAGTCACACGCTTTTTGGCTCAGCCTCCCAGGCCCACAGACCTGAGCCGAGCACAGATGTGACTAAGGCTACTTCTGGCCCTTGAGGTTCCTGCCATCGCGGGGTCTCAGAGAGCCCAAGTTAACATAATCACACATCTTTAAGGAAATAGGCAGGAAAGGTTTAAAAAAAAAGACAAAAGTTGGATTATGGTTGGATTTGGCATCTGGGAAACTTCCCACGTGGGGATGTTCCTTTTTGGTCCATCCCAGGGGACAGCCGGAGCGCTTCCAGGAGGGGAGGCAGCTGCTGGCCCCGGTGGCAGGTGGGCCGCAGTGGCTGGGGAGTGCTGGGAAGGGAAGATGGTCAGGTCACTCGCCCCAGGCTGCCTGAGTGGCCTGTGCCTTCTTTGCAAGTGACACCACTAAACATCACACTCACTGCCACTTTGTTATGCACAATATCCCTCAACTCAGTCACCAACCATCCAATCCAACCCACTTGTGGATGGCATTATGGGGACAATGGAGCTGCTTTGAAAGTCTCAGTAAAGGAATGGTTTTTTTGACGCAGAGAATGTTGTCAGAAAGCCAATGTAACAACCGATGAAGGCATTTTCCCTACTAGGCACAGAAGTCAGCTCTTCTTAAATCGCAGGGCTTGACATACTGGGGGGCAGGGCTGCACATCAGTTGATTAAAAATTATTCACTGGATACGCTCCATATAGTCTGAAGTACCCTGGTGGCTCTAAGTCATATATTTGTGACCAAGTAATGATAGAGCAGATTCTACCAGGGAAAGCCAGAAAAAGCCCCTTCTACACCTCCTTCCTTTACCACACGGATCGATTTTCAATCTTCTTGAATCTAGGGGGATCAGGAAAAGTATAGTTTGGGTCTGAATCTCCACTCAACAATTGAGATACAAACAATTGACTCACCTGAAGTGTAGAAGAACTTGGCTCACAATGCTTCACTCAGTCTCGCTGATGAAGTTCAAGCTTTTAAACAACACATATGTTAGGGCCAGTTTTCTTATAGTGGCTGAATGGCTAATTTATAACTGGGTTCTCGGTTCTGTTTTTTTAATTATGACCCTGCAAGGGACCAGACTCTCTGAAGTGGGTGGGAATCCATTAGACTGGAGAAAGCAGAGAAAACACAGAAATAGGCCCGGGAGAGTCTTGAATAGAAGCATTTCAGAAGCATCCCCTCCCCCACATATACCTATATTTCACCTACAGATGGGTGAAAAGTGATTATCTATGACCCTATAATACTTTATGTAATTACCTGTAATTAAATTAGTGCAAGGTAAAAATAATTGACTTAAAATAATATCAAGTATTGATAACAATTACTAGGCTAAATAACATTCTTTTTTTTTTCATAAAAGGAAGTGACATATGCAACAAAGTGGCAAAAACAGAATGGAGTGAGATGTGGTTAAGTGTAAGTCCTTATAGCAAGGAAAGTCATTTGTATTATCCTTACTTCTTTGAATAAATTCAGATGACAGCCCTATTTCATTTCTTCATTCACTTTGGAGGCCAGATGGCATTAGAATCATTTACTTCACCTTGTTGTGCTTAATTACTACAATCAACACACTATTTTCCAAATTAATCATAACAAAGTAATTTCATTAGTAACACAGCAGGCTGTTGAATTATTAGCATCATAACAGTTTGCAAACAATTAAACTTTATTTGAACCTTAAAAATTTGCAGAGTGGAACATTACTGTAAGATCTAATGGCAATAGAGTACAAATCCAGTACAGTGCAAATAATCAAGCAAAATGTTATATAAAATATGACTTACAATCACCTTTGGAAAAAAACAGCTCTCAGTCTAGCTGTTCGCAGAAAAACAAATAAAAGCTAAGCAAACATAATGAGAACATAGCAATTAGTACATTTTCTAACAAGCCATGCTGTTTAGAGTCACATTAATTATTATATTATTATGATCTGAAGAGGGTATGATATATTGTCAAGTGTGTAAAGAAAACTTTCTCCCTGGTAGTATACGAAAGATTTCACCAAATGAATATAAACTTGTCATGCGTTGAAAGCAATGATTATTTTCCCTTCCACGCCACCCATTTGAAATCTGGGTTTTCTTCCCTGTCTCCCACCTGGATTGCAGCTTAGAAAGAACAAAGGCCAGTGCTCAGGCCGAGGCCACACTAGGTTTCTGAATCACCACGGCTCAGAGCCCGTGTGGCTGGGAATGGCTGGTCATCCGTTGGCAAAGGACTCCCTCTCCTGGACTAACTGTAAAGGAGGCAGCGACGTTCTATGCGCTCTTTAGTCTGCAGGGGTCTGGGCCCGAGTGGGGGAGGGCTTCCCGGCAGCTGGGAATGCAATGAAAGACTGCTGCCACCTACTGGCCCAGGGCTGCAGTCTTCACTGAAGCCAGAAGCAGGAAATCTGTGTCCATGCCACCAGCAAGTCCACGTTTATGTTCTACATATTAATTATATGTAGAAACCCACCGCTGATTTTGCTTTTCAACCTCTCGGGCTTCGAAAACCAGCCGGGTAGCCTCATCTCCGCTTGTCTTTCCCCAAGATGATCTCACTCTACCCCCATGCCCTCGATCAGGACCAGATTAACAAGCGCACCAATTCATGTCTGACAGCTGGAGCTCAACAGTCTAAATAATTTATATAAATCAGAGTTTACTTCCAGTCCCTGAAATGAATATTCTTTAACATCTGAGATAATATGATGATGGCATTAAGGCACTCTGAAATAGTGTCTGTAAACAGTTTTATGTAAATAATGAAGGTTTTTAAAAATATTACCAGCCTGCTTGCATGGTCAGAATCTTTATCTTCATAAAGCAAAGATCCGAAAAGTTCAACAAATGTACATGCTAATCAGTGATTCAATATGAGATTATAGCTACTCCAAATGATTATCCGTTCAGCAGTACCTTGCAGTGTAAGTTAAGGGCATTTAAGTACCTTTGGTTTCCAATATACATGAACAGGTGGTGACATCATCCTGCAAGTCTTGCTCAGGTAGCGGAGCGCATGCTCCACTGTCAGGCTGCTGCTGCCCTTCCCCATGCCTGCTGTGTGTGCTGCCGTGGTCCCCACATGCCTGCTGTGTGTGCTGCCGTGGTCCCCACATGCCTGCTGTGTGTGCTGCCGTGGTCCCCACATGCCTGCTGTGTGTGCTGCCGTGGTCCCCACATGCCTGCTGTGTGTGTGCTGCCGTGGTCCCCACATGCCTGCTGTGTGTGCTGCCGTGGTCCCCACATGCCTGCTGTGTGTGCTGCCGTGGTCCCCACATGCCTGCTGTGTGTGCTGCCGTGGTCCCCACATGCCTGCTGTGTGTGCTGCCGTGGTCCCCACATGCCTGCTGGTGTGTGTGCTGCCGTGGTCCCCACATGCCTGCTGGTGTGTGTGCTGCCGTGGTCCCCACCCTGCTCCCTCCTCTGCTCGGAGGAGCCGGGAGCCTCTGGCTGGCGCCGCCCTCAGTGGGTTCCCTGCCACTGCCACCAGCAGGCAGGAGAGGCTGGTCCACCCTCACTCTCAGGGCACGTCGAGATGCCTCGTGCCCTTACCCTGGCGGAGAATCGGAGATGGGTCTTAGGAATTTTTATTTCATTAAATTTACACAAAATGATGGTGGGAGATGCTGGCCAGCCCAGCATCTGACCAGGGTGTCTGCTCTTGAAGCAGGATGTCACATGAACCATGGTTCCAGTCAGCGTGCCTTGTAGAAGGTGACAGCACACTACCATTCGCAATTCGATCCTGCTTCCTTCCTTGTGGGGAGAGTTCACATAAAGCAAACTCGCCCTTGGCGAAAATTCTCTCGAGAAAACGTGTCCCTAACGTGTGGAAAATAAATACTGACCTAAAACATCTCTAAAGCTTTCATAATGCCTTATTCCTGATGGCTTTATTAAAGTATCTACCCAAAGCTTACATGATAATGCCTTCCACATTTCTGTGAAATTATATATTTGACAGAAATAACTGACGGCCAATATTGAGAGAGGTTGCAGCTCACACCAGAGGTAGCGGTGATGATGTGGATCATATAGAACAGTGCTGAGCTCTTCACACAAATCAAATGAGTAAAAACTACAATCATTTCTTTGCAAAACAGCAACAGGTCTAAGTGCACAGCTTGTATCTGATTGGCAGGAATGTCCTTCATTTAGGCTCACGTCGGCGCAGAGCTGTGAAGGCAGAAGGCAGTGAGGACGCGGGATGCTAACAAACAAAGGAAGGGATGCGCTGCCGCTCAGGGCTCCCGGCCGGTCTGATCCCGCGGCCTCTGCAGAGAAGCAGGAGACCTTCCGCGGCTGTGGGCAGAAGGGAAAGTTGCATTACGATTTTTTTCTTCAACCGAAACGTTGATTTTTCCTGTTTAAAAAATTTTTATTTTTTATTTATTTATTTTTTTTAGCCGAGGAAAAATGAATGTTTACGCAACCTTCTTTCTGTCTACCTGGCTCCTCAGAAAGGCCATAAGAAGTGGTATTTTACTGAAGAGGAGGAGGTTTGATTACCACAGATACTTTCTCTTAATAATCTATTTCCAAAGTAAATTCCACGAAATTATTTTTAAAATTGAACCAGACTCCTTTCTAGAAAGAAGAAGAGTTGGAAGCATAATCTTCATGTTATCAGAAAACTACCAAGACTTAGAAAAAGGCGAAGACTCTTAATGCGGAGACCAAGAGAACATATGAGCTATTACGGAATATTGGATTAAAATGTACTTACCCAGGACTCTCAGATATCATACATCTCCATTATGTAGGCTTTCGGCACCAAGCCAATGGCTCCCTTCATTTCTCCTACCCACCAGCCGTATCTATTGTATTCCTAATTGAAAACAATATGCAATATTAACCTTTAGGCTGGTGGAAGTACAATGTCCTTTGTGTGCAACTTCGGAGAAATGTTATTTCTTTTTATAAAGTTACAAGAGCTTGAGCTGCAAATTGAAACATTCTCATCTTTTTTTGTTTCTGGACACTTTAAAAATGCTGCTAGGCAAAGATTTAAATTAAAGTATAAGACAAAGCCTGTTTATTACTGGGTGTAGAACACAGAAACAGTCACTTTTAAGAACCTAACGAGTGTATCAACCTCCCTCCCTCCTTCCCTCCTCCTTTCCCTCTCCCTCCTCTGCAGGGGCTCCAGCGTCACAGCCAGGATCCTGGGATACCACCTCTGCCTTCAAGAAGTTTACCATCTAGCAAGGATGGAATTATTTTCACGATAAACTACTTAATTCCTACTTAAAACTCTTATCACCAAAAATGATTTAGAATATAGAGGTATGCCTCTTCTTAAGAAAATATTTTATAAGCACATAGACATTTTAAAAAAATATATATTTTATTGATATTTTACAGAGAGGAAGGGAGAGGGATAGAGAGTTAGAAACATCGATGAGAGAAAAACCTCGCTGCCTCCTGCACACCCCCTACTGGGGATGTGCCCGCAACCAAGGTACATGCCCTTGACCAGAATCAAACCTGGGACCCTTCAGTCGGCAGGCCAATGCTCTATCCACTGAGCCAAACTGGCTAGGGCAAGCACATAGACATTTTAAACAGATAAATTAGAGAAAACAAGGAAACACTAATAATACCCGCCCCCCAATCCTTTATAAAACCGTTCACAAAAAGGTTCCTTTAAGAAAGCTTCCCTAAGGCATTTGTTGTCTTTTATTGATCATTAACTACAATTGATAAAGGATGGACAGAAGGAATTTAAAGATGGTGTTAGACTCTCCCTTACAGGAGGAGATCAATGGGAAATAAAGTATCCCACGTTATAAAGGCGACATACTAGCCAGCTGTGAGAGAGAGGGGGTGAAGGGCCACATCGCCTTCACTTGTCCTGGGAGATGAGCCTGGGCCTCCACTCCTCCCCTTTGCCTCCACGGCAGACACACCACTGCTCCAGGCATCGCGAGCTCTCTGTAGCCGGTCTCATGGCTCTGCCAGGTTGACTAATGCATTTTTATCTCAAACTTATTTATGTTTCGTGAGAAAAACAAAGTAAAATGAATTACAAGTTTCAAGAATAATATCTTTGCAAAGCAATACTCTGCAAAAGCATTGGAGGACCCAAATTTAATTTTTCCTAAAGATGAATTTTTAAAATCAATCCCCAAAGTAATTCAATAGGCTGTGACTTCCCAACATGAGAGTCCCAGACAAATGGTCGCACGTGGGAGGGAAGGTTAATCCAGGCACAGACTTAGCATCTGCACGATGAGTGTGCTGCTGCCCACCGGAAAGGAAGAGGAATATAGGCATAGCTCTATATTCTAAAGGCGGCAGCAGCCAGTGCGTACTGACATGCAGTCTGTCGATCGAGATTGTGGGGCTAAGTCTACATGTGCCACAGTTTTGAACTGTGATGGACCAGAACGAGGTTTACTCCAAGAACAGGGTGGAAGGAGAGGGACAAAGGCTTCTGATTCTAACGAGAGCACATCTGGCTCATGATTCTAAGTTTAAACGTTCTCTGGCAGTGTGGACCTAGTGGGCAAAACTGCCTAAGAAACGACATAGTCTGATGCCCAGAACTCCGTGGTGATGACTATAATGTATGCAGGCTGTATTTACCAGAAGAAAATACCAGCTTACTGAAAGCTAAGATTAGCAGCCATTACACCCTAATAGGTACCTAATAAAACTGCCCCTTTCAATTTTTAAGGCAATGAGTACAATTAGAGCCTAACGCTTAACAAAACAAACGTATTTAACCTCTCAGAGGCCAAAGTCGTACCTTGTAAAGTCTCAAGCTACAATAGATGGTTAACAGGGTAAACGTAAGGGTGAGAGCTCTGACCCAACGCCGGTCTGTTTTCACAACTGATGATCTGGAGGGAAGAGGTGACGGCCGGAAAGGACAGGCACCGAACACGTGCGGTGAGAGGCACGTGATGACCCAAACATGCTTTTACAGAAGAGCCCGCAATCTGGTTTCAACGTTTAGATTCCAATTACAAACCAGAAAGTTTATAACATTCTGCGGTGGTTCTAACCTGTGCTCTCCATTAAAGATAGAGTATTGTTCTCAAGAAGCTGACTCACATCCAAATTTGAGAAATGGATTTCCAGCAAATCACTCCAACCAAGGACCGATGGCACGCTTCCCACGTGAGGGAGTCCTGCCTGACAGGAGCTGGTAGGATTCATTGAGTGGGAAACACAGCAGTAAACAGCGGGGAGGAGCTTATCCAGCTGTAAACAGGTCCCTTCAAAGAAACACTCCAGGAGAAAAAATAAAATAAAGTTCTAGGCTGAAATCCTCTTAAATGCTACACTTAATTAATTTAAAATGATTGAAAAACCACATGAAATACACACCTCATAAAAGTACTCTAACATATCACAGGTTTAAATCAGAAAAGGGTATAAATAAATAAAAAACAGAGTGTTTATTACGCTGCATTCATAAAGGATTCCACGGAATGCTCCTGTGTGGAATGAAGAGGTAAGATGAAATTCAGGGAGGTGAGAATCTAGTAGGCAAATTTATGGGTTTACACCGCACGTCGACGAGACTGCAAACACAGAAGCTGCTCCTTTTATCATTACCATCCCCTGGATGAGCCTCCTGAGCAACATGAATCCCAATTAAACGTTTGCAGCCTATAAAAGAGGAGAAGATGCTTCCTGGAGCACAGTATTCTCAGCCTCAGCCCGAAGACGCACTCTCACACAAGGCTGCCTCTGAAGAAGGAAACCGGCCTCTCTGTGCCTTCCCCCAAACAGATGTGATTAGGAAGGCTAGATTACTTACAGCGGAAAACAATACACTCCACGCAATCCTGCCTTGCAGTCCACATACCGAGTATAGACAGTGTTGGTCTAAAAGTCACAGGTGGGTCACTAAAAAAACAGCAACGCTCAAGCCTGATCTTGTTCATAAACAAAAAATAAAGAGACCAAACCATAGCGGGCTGCCATCCGGATCTCTGAAAAGCTAGGAAGCGTCATGTCAGCTTACAGCTCACGAGAGCTCAGGTACAAGGAGATCCGCCATCTGGTCTCCCTCACCCTCCTCGGCTCTTAACAGCAACTGAAACGCCAGCGTAGGCCGGTGACTGCACTTGAGCGGGACTGATAAAATAATGAAGAGTGCTTTAATCTACAGGAAACCATTCTAGTCAATTTACAAGAAATATTGCATCCCTTTGTAGGACGTGTAATTATTTTCTATTAATCATGTGCTATAAAGCTACATTATGCGGTTATTCTGTTATCGCTGGGAAGGGGCCTGCAGTCAGCTTCTGACAATGTTAGGTAATTACTGACACAGAGCTGCTTTCTCTTCCTGTGGCAATGCCTGCGCCATCCCGAGGCGCAGGGATGCTGGCGGGCTGAAAGCAGCGCTCAGATGGAATGCAATGTCTGCCACAGGGATGGCTTCGAGGCACAATGCGATGCGGCAGTCGAAGCAAGAGCCAACCGCCCTGCAATCCGCGGGAATCGTGGTAAAGCCGCCCTGAACGGTGCTGATCTAACTCCTGTTTTCAAGTCTCAGACAGTCACAATCGCTTCCCTTAGTTTTACTGCGTAGTTAAAATGTTAGGCCTCCGTTAATAGGCATTAAGCAGTAGATTGAAGTGACTGAGTCACAAGGAAGGAAAGGGCAGTGGTTCTGACAGAGGGAGACGGGGGCCTGAGCCGGCGCCGCAGGGAACGTAAGTCCGTGTTCACTCCCTGAGCCTCCGTCTGTGCCACGTGTTACTGTGCGCGTACAGGAGGCCCAGGACGTACTGTTAAACCCTCTGCGGCTCCTTGATTCTCATTTTTCACGCACGCTAGTCACTTCTGGCTAACCATCTGGCGGAGGAACGGTGCCTTAACAGAAACCCGGAACATTGATAAGGTGTTGTGATGTGCTGCTCCTTTCAGAAATTAGTCACCAATCTGAAAGCGACAGGTGTTTCTTCAAACGCGTATCTCTCTTCCAACTATTCCCTGGGATATTTTCAATTTCTCAAATTATTTATACACATGGTAATAGTATGAATATTAGATAACTATTTAAAACACGGAAATCCTTTCTTCAGGTTACCTCTTGCAAGAACTTCCACCTGCTACCCACGTATGGACTGCTGGCAGGGAGTGGGGGGTGGGAGGGGCGTGTGTGGGGGGGTGAGGCAGCCACACGAGGAGTCCGCAGTCAGTGCACTGAGGAGCTAGTGGAAGCTACTGAGCAGCAGAGTGAGCTGACAAAGGCTGGTCCTGAGAGGAACAGAGAGGCAGGACTGATCAAGGGAGGTGAGGCCTGTGCAAGCACGATGACAGCTGCATGGAAGGGGTGGGTGAGCCTGGGAGCAGTTACCAGAGTCGGGTGTTGGTTGGTGAAATATACTGAGTGCCAAGGCCACTTTCTACTGAGCTTGATTTGATCCTTCTTTGCCTGAAAGTACCTCTGAATCATCAAGGCAAGTCTCATTTCATCACCATTTATCGTATCAATAGATGCCTGCCGAAAAGGGATTCCATAAAATCCAGCACCTATTTATGGTAAAAAATCTTGGCAAAGTGGGAATAGAGGGACTATAAGAAATGCCATATGGCACAAACCCACAGCCAAAATCAGACTCAACTGGCAAAAACTGAAAGCATTATCCTTAAGATCGGGAACCAGACAGGGATGTGCACTTTTACCACTCTATTCAACATAGCTCTGGAAGTGCTAGCCACAGCAATAAGACAAGAAGAAATAAAAGGCATCCAAACTAGAAAGAAGTAAAACTATCCTTATTTTCAGATGACATGATACTGTATATAGAGAATCCCAAAGATTCCACCAAAACTATTGGAACTGATCATTGAATTCAATAA